TGCACAAGTTGTGGGAAGTGAGGCCCTCTGGAATATGCATCAGTTAAATCCACAACAGGTGATCAAAGATGCCAGTCAGAATCAGATTCAAATGGAGATAAAAGCTATTAATAGAACTTTTATTATACTTCAAGCAACAGCAGTAAAAAGCCACTAAGCTTAGCTGCCTCATGACAATTTGTTAGGTGGCTCTGCATGACATCCGATAGAACTTACTGCTGCAGTCCTTTAGCTGGATGGTAGTAGTTGTAAATACTCTTACTATTACCTTAAACTTGAAAAAAAATAAGATATCCTTATTACTTCATACAGAAATGTCACAAAAACTTGACACCTACTTTGTTTTACTTCCAGCTTATTACATGTACTTACAAAGTATTTAAGCAGAAATCGTACTTGTTAGAGCAGCACTTTCTAAACAAGGGTTCAAAAATTATCACAGATTTACTCATTCCTGTACCTTATACACCCTGTTTTTTACCGGTACTTTTACTTAATATGTCCAGGAAAATACTTTCCAAATGATTGAATTGTGTTTTTGGCTTGTTGTCAATTCAATGACTTTTATTAACTGTGGTTTAATTTTTTTCTGTTTAGACATCAGAAAACCAAGATATAACATTACCAGCTAATATGGAGGAGTGCTGTGGGACGGCAAGTGCCTTTGACCTGCATGTCGATGAACTTTCTGATGAAGAAGTTCACATTTTGACTGCACCTGTCCCAGTTTTAAGGTAAGCAGATATTAAAACCTAGAGTAGCCTGTGACTAGTTAAATTGATGCATGCTTGCTTTTGCTGAGGCATATGGCACCTGCAAAATCTCCTGGAGCAACAAATGATGATGATTCGTGTTCCCACCGACATCATTTTCCTCTATTAAGTTATTTCCTCCAAGTTCAGCGTGCCCTTGCGTGGTCTGCCTCACCTTGTTTCTATTTTCCAGGTGATGCCCAACAGAGGTTTTGCACCGCAGCCATGTTGCATGGCAGGAACAACAGATTCTTTTTCCCATGGGAAAAAATGTTCTTTCTAATGCAAAACATTTTCAGTTTTGAGGACTGCCATGCAACATGGCTGCCATGCAAAATTTCTATTCATTGTTTTATGAATGTAAACAATCTGTTTCTATTATGGTGCATTTATCTTCCTGCCTCCTCCCTTCCTCCTTCCTTTCACCTGCTTTGCCATGTCGTGACGTGTTGTGCCATGCTGTGCCATTCCGTGCTGTGCCTTGTCATGTTGTGTTGTGCCGTGCCGTGCTGTAGTGCGCAGTGCCTTTTCTTTTCATGTCATTCCCTTCCCTTCCCTTTGCTTCCCTTTCATTCCATTCCCTTCCCAACCATCTCCATCCCTCCTATCTCTTTCCATCCTTTCCTCCCTTTCTTCTCTTTCCTTTCTTTTTTTCCATGTCCTTTTCTTTTCTTCCCTTTGCTCCTCTTCCTTTCATTTGCTTTGCTTTCCTTTCCTTTCAGTGCTGCCCTCTTGAGTTACTTATATCCTTTAAATGCAATGTGAAACTACCCAATCATTAAAATTTCTCCCTCCAGGTTTGACTTTTGTGGTGGTTGTACCTCTACAAATTCAGACTGCACAAACAGGGTCTCTATTCCAGAGACTAAAAACAAAATCCAGAGCGATAAAACAGTGTCCCAATATTGTGCTCAAACATCTGTAAAAGAGACTGGCATTGCTCATGGAGTGGTCATGTGGTGGACATTAGATATGGACGTTGATGGTGAAATCACCCTGACAACTGCACCACATTGGTCCCACCCTGATAGTAATGACAAACCGGTAAGATTGTGGCAACCATTATTTTGTTGTAGGAGTAGTAGATTCCTAATGTACAAACAAGGGCCACTCAACATGGGAGACATTCCTCATTATGCAATTTTTGAGAATTAAAGGGGTGACAACTGTTATAAGGTAGGCACTTTTAGAAGAGCAGCCCTGAAAATTCTGAGTGTTATCTCCATTTTTTTTCTTGAAAATTTGTACCATTTATTAAACATGATTTTTGCAATGTACCAGGAGAAAATTTACTATTTCCAGCTTCCTGGGAAAATTTGTCAAGACCCCTAAGCTCTTTCTTTTATTAGATTCCTAGAAAAAAGTTGAAAGTTGCTGTTTTCCTCAAGCACTAGTTACATGTATCAAACCATGGGTTGATTGCATTGAGACTTAAAGTCTGCTTGTCAATAATTTACTTGATTATATATTATGGATAAATTGCAAGATGTCTTAATTACACATTATTAGGAAGTGACATCAATTGATGTTTTCACACAACTTTATATGACCTTTCAATACATGTAGGTATTGTGGCATTAGTTATTGATATATATTTGAGTTTCGAACTGTGGACTGGCATTTTATTCTAATGGTGTTACATCTCACTTGTTGTTTGCAGTGGAGAGATCATTGGATGCAGGCAGTATATTTCCTAAAGAGACCATTAGTTATGCAGGAAGGTATGCAACCTTAACCCTTTGACTGCCAAATTTTTACAAAAAATTACCATTTTTAACTGTTAAATCAGTTTTTTTTTTGGTTGCCATGATGCTGAATGGGCCTTAGTTTTGCGGAGAAAGCTATTTTTTTACCAAAAAGATCGATTTCCCTGGGCAAGATTAGGTACAAAAATGTACAGTATTTGAATTTGGCATACATGTATAAGCCAAATTTGGACTTTTTTTTGGCAATTGGCCGTTCCGAATTTTTTTCCTTGCTCCTTTCCTTTCCTTTTTCTCTGCCCTTTTGTTCTTGCTACCTTTTGTGTTTCATATTTTTTCTGGCTGCTGTAAAAAGTTGGGTGTTAATCAGGGTTTTCAATAAGTTTTGAAATAGCCGTCTGAACTAACTAAAGTAGGTGGCAAACTGATGAATTTTTTTAATAATTTGAGGGAAAATACAGACAAAGTAGGCAGCGGTAAGAGGTAATTTCTGACAAAGTAGGCAGTGATTTTCGCTGGTTGCTGGCTTCTAATCAAACCCCTGGTGTTAATAATGGGTAAAGCCTGGAAATGGGACCTTGATCATTATAGGTATAATGGACCATTTTTCCACCATTTTTGCACCAAAACTGATGACGTTGTTTTTCAATTTGCTACGTCAGAATGCCGCTGATATCCAAAACTGCCTGTTGTGCGGATAGATCTATCCTAGCTCTACTATCTGCTCATCAAGAATATCTGGTGACATTTAAATTGATGACGTCACAAGTGGTACAAAGAGCACGACCACTCGGGGCATGTAGATGCGTCATTGGCAGTCAAAGGGTTAAATGTAGACCTGTACATTAGGGGCATTAAGGATAGAGGACCTGCATGAATACCAGCTAAGGCTGATATGGCTTCCTCTCTGAATATTGTTATTTATTTAATGATTGATTGATTGATTGATTTAATAGAATTTAGAGACTTTGAACTGTAAATTTCAGTGGGATGGAAGGTCAAGCCTAAAAAATGTTCCAGATGGAGGGTGTGGATATTT